ATACATTTATCTGTAATCGTTAATTATTTAGAACGAAGAAACATTAATCGTTGAGGATATGAAAAGTAGCTTTTTCTACATTACATATATTTATTACGTTAAAGACACTTTTTAAGTTATTATTATTTCGATAGACGGATTATATTTAAAGGACAGATACAATTCATTTTTCATTAAGCATTGATAAAAACATTACTGTCGTCAAGGATATGAAATGTAGCTTTTTTTGCAATACAAATTTTAAGATACATAATTTTATTTATATATATTTATTTATTTATTAAATAAACACATACACTGTGCAAATTTTACGAAAGTGAAAATTAAACTCATTTCTCAGTTAAAGGTTTAAGAACTTGTGATGATGTCGTATAAAACGAACAGGAACGAACAAGAACTAGTTGTATAAAAAAGTTTTACATGTGCCATAGCGCTTGAAATGACAAAAGAAACTTCTTCGCTGTTATCACTGCAACATAAAGCTAGTGTTGTGTATAAATTAAAATATGTACTGAACTTTCTCGCGTATGCACGCTTTTTTTTTTAAATACCAAATAGTGTTTACTGTAATTTGTATTTTAGAAATACGATATTATCGCGTTTTTGTGCAAAACCAACAAATATTCTCCGTTGGCTGCACGAACAACGGCTATATTTGTACGTGGTTAGACCTTAAACGTGATAACCGCTACCCACCGAAATTATTTTATACGATGCACGCGAGCGGCCGAATTTTCATGCGCAACTTAAATATTAGCGTCGTTTTAGGTTCGCACACACAAGTGATTAATAGCCCAGTACATGAAATAATTGAGACTGTAGGAAGAACGTCGTACCTTCCCCGGTGGCAAGATTCCTCTTTTACTCCTTCGTCGTCGTCGTCTATATTCACTCTTCAGTTTAGGAGACGTGCTTTCCCCTCCTTCTATCCTTTCTTCCCTTCGTAGTCTAATGTCTTAATCTTCCGTGTGTGAAGAATTGTGCCGGGCCAAATGAAATTTGCATAGTCGTTACCAACCCGCCTTTACCGAGCGATAGTTCCGTAGATCCGCCCCAAGCTCTTTTGGCTCTGAGAAAAGAAGACTGGTACAATGATCCGTTTGATTGCTTAGGATAACATTCTTTTCTCCGGTGATCCGAATTTTCAATGAAGAAAATTTTAAGAAATGCACATTTTTATAATATAAGTATTACGTATAAGAGACGCACACAAAAATATAATTATATAAACAAAATCACAATTTTTCTCTGATTACATTCCGTCTTTTTAACAAACAACTTCAAAAAAAAAAGATCTTAATTTTGCACATTATGCTTCTGTATTATGCGAGAGGCTACAATAAATATTTGTCGATATTCAATCGAATCGATCAAGTTGCTGTAAAAGTACGTGTCGCTTTGCTACAAAGCGTTGTACGCTACAGTTTTCAGCAAATAAATTATGTATGTGGCGAGCGCGCCAAGCGTTTCTGGATTTCCAAGTTATATCCAATGCGATAACGTGGATAAAGGACGTCTCTGGGTTCTCGATCGATCTTTAATAAGCGTTCTGTTCCAAGGATAAGGATTCAGAGTAGTGTATTGCAGGGGAGCCATCCCTGGTGTTGTCGGAGCACACGGTATATAGTAGAACGTAGGGGTAACATAGAACGCGTTGGCTAGGTCAGGAGGTTTAGGAGCTACGGAACCGATAAGGGTTTGCCAGGCATGCTCGTTAACGACTATGTAAATTGACGGGTCTATTTATTCTAACCATCGTTATCGAAAGCGCTAAATGAAGAAATCAGAAGCCGGTAGTACGGGCCATCGCTCTTCGTGACGCTACAATCAATTACACCGATATTGCATTAAAGCGCGATTATTCCAATGAGGGTTTATTATTTGCGATCCAAAATTTCGAATTAATTACATGCTTTCCCACCGCACTCATTGATACTACATTTCCATCGTCATCGATAATATACGCGTCTTATGCCGAGCGAAATCGCAAATAAATTTAGTGCCGGCAAAATAGCTTTCTCGATAGGTACTCGATAAGAGAGTAAGAGAAAGAGAGACAGCACGGGCTATCATAACGCGCTGTCCAACCATTTTATTGCAATGCTAAAGTAGGTATTGATCCGAATCTAGGAGAATCACGAACTAAGGTGCTCGACGACCATCGATCCGTCGTAGGGGGATGAGATGAAGGGAGAAGAGGAGGAGGAGGGTAATCATTTTCCGTGTCCTCCTGCTCCTCCTCCTCCTCCTCCTCCTCCTCCTCCTCCTTCTCCTCCTTCTCTTCCTTCTCTTCCGTCGGTTATCCGAATTGGGTTCGAGGGGGTCTCGTAGCAAAGTTGGGGACTAGGAGAGGACACAAACACCTCCGTTTGGGCTACGAGGAGGAGAAGGGTTCAGTAGGGCCTTTACTGGCGAGGAGAGGCGAAGAAGATTGAAGGAGGAAGAAGAGGAGGAAAAGAGAGGAAGCGAGAACGCTCTCCATGTCTTTCTCGCTCTCTCTCTCTCTCTCTCTCTCTCTCTCTCTCTCTCTCTCTTTCCCCCTC